AGATAGATAGATAGAGAGAGAGAGAGAGAGAGAGAGAGAGAGAGAGAGAGAGAGAGAGAGAGAGTGAGAGAGAAAGAAAGAAAAAGTGGTACGACGTCAAGCACACACGACAGGAGGACGACAGGCACAAGGCCACGGAAGATGGGGAGTGGAGGTTGGAGACGGCACACGGCGAACTATCTCCACCAAGGTGGATTGCAGCAGGGAGGGTCAAGTGAATTACAAGTTTTTTCTTTGGGACGATGCCCAAAACATGCAAGTTTGAAGTCGAACCGGTCGCACCTCCCTGCCAAAGGGCATCTCACAAAGATGCATACTTGGCAGGAGGGCATAGCAAACAACCAACATGGAAATGGAACCAGCGGTCCGATAAGGGTGTCCATGAAAATTGTGCCCCTTGCTGACGGGGGTCTGCAGGAAACTTCAGAGGTCACAGGGGTACGACAGGGTAAGTCGGTTATTGGAGGGGCATGCTGCAAATAAATGGATTTCAGGGGGGGCTTGTCAAAACTCTTTCCGAAAAAAAAAATAATAATAATAATAAAAAAATTAAAAAAAAATGATTCAGTTTTTTGTTTCCACAAGGGAGGAAGGTAAGAGAGTGAGAGAGAGAGAGAGAGAGAGAGAGAGAGAGAGAGAGGATTGAAAATGAAAAAGAGGAATGGGAAAATTCATTCTTTTTTTGCACTTTGACAACTTGCGTGCGATTCCGTTCTGGGAAAGACAGTACTCATTCTGTGTCAATTGTGATTCCTTATCAGTACAACGCTTATCGCATGAAAGCGTTAAGTTCCACCTATGGTTAACCAGGGGTGTTATTTTCGACGAATTGTGCACCGAATTGCATCGAAACTGTCACATTGTGCTGATTATTTTTTATTATTATTATTTTTATGTTTGCACTATGAGCCCATATCATTTATTTTATTATGTTTGCACTAGTATGAGCCCATATTATTAATATAGTTTGCAATTTTTGGTCGACTCTACTTTAGGTAGTTAAGGTAAGTTTCATACATCTATACTGAACACCTCCTTTCAGACAGTCTGCACAGACTAAGGGCCCGATATCTGCATAAATATTCAACCATGTATAACTGTACTCAGAACCAGAATTGTTGTCCTCTCTCTCTCTCTCTCTCTCTCTCTCTCTCTCTCTCTCTCTCTCTCTCTCTCTCTTCGCACCTATTTTCTAGCTAGGATACAAGTGGTGATCCCTATTATTTTCGTGGTCATCAGAAGGTCGTTACCATGTTCATTAAGTCTCACACGCATTTGTTTGCATGTTAAGGTTGCAAAATTCCTCACAGGTTCCAACTTATTGTCTACCAAGGGCAGTGAACCTTATGGTAGATAGGAGGCTATGATCCCAATACTGAGGTGAAAATACACAAGCTTGGATATCCTTCTCCTCAATTTTTGGAAAGCGGATGCCAAGTAGCCTTTGAAACCAACACCAATAAACTAGGAAGACCCAACTCCYCCCCGCCCCCTTACCCCCCATACACCCCGTTTCCCCCCCCCCCAAATGTTGATTATCCCATCACCCCCTGACTGTGAACCCAACACCACTTCAGACTTAGTCGAACTCCATGACGATCACATTGGTCAAAATAGCATCATAGCTAGCACCTTCCTCGAAGACAATGTTCCCTGATTATGAATGCATACAATATATTTTTTAAGTCGGATAGAGTAATGATGTTGGTGAATTTTAAGGGTTAATTTTTTGGGGGGCGCGGTAGGCAGAAGAGAGTCACCGCAGTGAGAGAGTAATATGTGGAAAATAACCAGTGAGCGCAATAAAACCCATACATTTTTCAGTCTATTGAGAAATATAAGTTTCCAAGGTTATCAAATTCATACATTTGATGAGATTCCGAGGTCTGCATTTTGCTCAGATTCTTAGCAGATTCATGCATTTTCTCAGATTCTAAGCAGACTCATACATTTGCTGAGATTTTGAGCAAATTCATGCATTTGTTGAATTTATAGTCTTTTGACTAAGACTCTAAGGTGGTTTTGCTTTTACTATGTTATCTATGATAGGTATCATGTATTTAACTCATCTTGCACATTTGTTCATTGTTTTCGCATTAACAAGGTTAGAGTTTGGTGTTGTTGTATTACAAGCTTATGTTTTATCTAGGACCACGCCCGTCTTAGCACATTGAAACTATGGACCAAATTTTTTCACCATGCTTTTTTTGAACTTAGTGCGATATTTGTGAAGAAGGTCAGTCAGATTCCGTAGACGAATAGTAAAGTTTTTGGTTGTGACTGCTACTGAAGTGCTTCCTATACTCATCTGTCTATTTGTCCTATGACATGTAAATGATGAAGTAGATCTGTGAATTGGCTATAGCGGAAAAATACGAAGATGCTTGAGGCTACAAATTTTCAAATATTGAAATTTCATATAGCTTATGGAGCAGGATGTTGTCCTGAGGCCCTAGTTGCACCACTCGCCATCCACCAATATTTTGAATGCATCTTCACTGAAGTTATATCTTTATGCATTCAGAATCTTGGCGCATGGCGAGTGGTGGAACTAGGCCTTGAAGGCCCCCACTCAATTCGAGCTCCACAAGGGGTATTGGTCTGCATTTTGCAAGCCTAGGGAGGTACATCTGAAATTTGGCCGAGCTATGTTAAGACAAACAAGGGGGCATATAGGAAAAATTGCAAGGATCTAGTAAGGAATTTCCAACAACTTGGAGAGACTTTGTATTCAATAAGCTCAGCAGCATGTGTGATGTTGGTATGCCTAGACCGAATGCAAACTGTTGTAAAGTTAGGTACATCAATTTTGAGATAGATTAGTTTGCAACCAGTTTTCCACCT